GAGCAGACACCAACAGGTGAGATTGTACCTGCAGGTCACTTCGACCCAGCCCCAGCCACGCGGTGTTCCCGCTGGGTTTCTGTGCTGCTCCTATTCTCTTACAGATGCCCGTTAGGAAGCTTCCAGAAGTGGGCCATTCTGGATGCTTAAATATCTCCCCTTGAATGAGGTGCTGTCGTAAGTTAGGGGAGAAGACCACAGCTAGGATCTGACAGGAGTCCCACCGCCTCACTCATGGCTGGGTGCCACTGGGGCTCAGAAACTGACACCCCAAAATATGGCGCTGTGACAGGCTGGACTGAGGAAGCAGCCTCAACGTCTCTCTGACCTTCCCGCCAACCTCCTGTCCCTCAAATCCTCTGTCTCTCCCAAAGCACAGGATGAAGTTGTTCTCTGAAGTCCCTTATCTGCCTAAACTCCTGACCCACCAAAGACAGTGACCTCTGGCCCCTTCCCTGAGTGCTCATTAACTGAGCCCTCATCTCAGGAAGAAAGGCAAGTCTGTCAACACAACTGGGCAGACTTTTGTCATAAACTACTGTCTGTGAGCCCAACAGACTTTGTCCCAGGTCACTGTATGTTCTTCAAGCCCATTGAATTCCCCTAAAAATCATTTACTACCCCCCTAAAATCATCCACACTTCCCCATCCTCCTTTCCCCCTAAGAAGAAGGGTGTGTAACCCTCTGTATCTCCCATTGGGTTACCGGGGACTCATTCTCCTATGATTCCCCGGGCATGCACACTAAAATAAATCTATATGCCTTTTTCCTCACATTAATCTGCCTTTTATGAGCTGATTTTTCCCCAAAACTTCGGAGAGTGAAGGGGAAATTGTTCCTTGGCCCCCTAGAGTGCTCTCCCCTTCTGCCAGCCTTTAGCAACTTCTAGAAGAAAAAGGAACCAAGTAGCTCTGTCCCAGCAGGAAATATAAAGTCTCCTCCTTTACCTCAAGGCCCTTCAGACCTCCCCAAGCAGCAGATTCTTCTCAGAAAGTGTTCCGCTCGGAAGTGAGGGAGGTTCCCAGTCAAGGCTGCGGAGCTGGAGCCACTGATCCCGCCGTGCCTGGTGCAGGTACAGGAGCAGGTACGGGCTTCCCCCGGTCCCCCACAGGCCCACTCCCTACCTCCTTCTCATGAGGAGCAGCCTGTGACACCATGAACAAACCAGACCCCCGTTTCTCCTCTACATCCCTCTTAAAATATGCATGGCCACACTTGGGTTTTCTTAAAAGCTGCCAACTTGCCAATCAAATAAGTCAAACTACATTAGTGTGCTAATGGGAAAGAACTGGGAAAAAGCCAAAAGGAAAAATATTTGCAAAACACATGAAAAGGTGTTGTTGTCTTTTGTGTATAAACAGTTCATATAAATCAATAAGAAAAACATTTGCCACCCCTTCAAATAAAGAACTAGCATGAACAAAATATTCTCCTAAAAGAACATGTGATCTGTAAATAAGCATTTGACAGCATATTCAACCCCCGCAGTAACCAAGAAAATGCAAACACAAATAACTACATATGTTTCTCATCTACAGAATTAACAATGGTTTAAAATTTAATGTTTAATTCTGGCAAGAGGCTCTGAGATGAGCTCTGGTATCTTGAGTGGGGAGAAAATAAATTGTTACAGCCACAACTGATGAACTTACCAAGTAATTCTACTTGTCTGAATACAAGCTAAGGAAATAAAGTATGAAATCCAGATATTTATTTATGTTCACATGGTTTATCCCAACATTATTTAGGAAACAATATAGTAAATAAAACAAATTAAAGAGCTTTCATACTTTTATACGGTAAAATGTTTGCGACATAATACTTGGTAGTGAAAGCTCAGCACTCAAAATCGCACACTCAGTAAAATCTCACATCTCAATAGTATAAAGCAAATATCCCTAAGCACAGACTAAAAGTAAATAACCTTAATGTGCTAGCGATTATGAGCGATTATTAGGGTTTGAGTTTCTTTTTCATTTTTTTTCCTCCACTTAACTGTTTTTTTTTTTTTGACAAAGAGCATCTATTACTGTGATGAGGGGCAAAACCTTTCAATAAAAATTGCAAAATGGCCAAGCTCAGGAGCTCACACCTGTAATCCCAGCATAGTACCAGTCCAGTACATCCTAGGTGCTCAGGAAAGTGTTCCTGTGTGTATAATCCTATGCCTGCTGGAATGTGTTTTCATGGAAAAGTACACGCCTGCTGGGAGGCCAAGGCAGAAGGATCGCTTGAGCCCAGGAGTTTGAGGTTGCAGTGAGCTATGATGATGCCACTGCACTCCAGCTGGGGCAACAGAGCGAGACTCTGTCTCCAAAAAAAAAATGTAAAAGGCCCAAGTAACAGCTACCTACCTCCATCTGTAAGGGCTCACACCCAGGAGACAGAAACAACACTAGGGGACCTCTATGCGCCCTCCCAATAAGGGGGCCAGCACTGAGTGCGTATTAGTTTGCAGTGGGATTTGGAGGGCAGGGATCCCCTTTCCCTGGCAGTTCCTCCCAGCACAGTGGTGGAGGAAGAGAACATTCCCCTCTAGGACTCAACCACACCTTGTCACCCCTTGGAGGGCTCAGCAGCTTTACCGGCCACGCAGTTGATGAAGAGACGGCCAGAGCTGAGTCTCCATCCTGGCTGCACAGCCCTGGACAAGTGCTTGTCACTGCTCTGAACCTCAGTGTTCTTGTACTTAAAACGGGCCCCTGGCGATACTGTCTTTGGAGGTATTTGTGGAAATTAAATGAGATAAGAATTGTTTTATTGTTACAAAATATAGATGAGTTTTTTCTACTTCATGAATACAACACACAAAGATACACTAATAACGCATTTCTGTGACTTAATGTCTGACTCTTGCCATATAATCTAATTTTTCATATAATTATTTTACGTTCTTAAAATAGTAGTCATTTCTTTAATATTAGACACTTGCATGGTTGAACTCTCTAAAATATACCCAACGTTTCCCTGGTGGCTAAACTGTGACTCACTATGAAACACTATTTACTACACAAACAAATGTGTATGTCAGGGGGAAGGGGACCAATATCTTTAAGTAACTCCTATGTGCTGAGTAAGACATTGTAATTATCTCACTAATCATTAATTATCTAATTTGTAACTCACAACAACCTAACTTTGCAGATTGTTCCACTTTCATGGATGAGAAAATTGAGGTTCAGAGAAGAGAAGTAAAATGCTACAGGTTACCCGGCTTGTGGACAGCAGAGTAACTACCCCTTGATGGCACAGGAACAGTCCCATCCTCTGGTTACATCCGAGTGAGATGCTTCAGTTCCGTAATAAGCATTACTTAGTTCCTACGCCTTGATAGTCAGTAGGGCTGTCACTTCTGTTGTTTAGCTACTTAGCCAATTAGTTCATTGTTTGGCTTCCTTTCTTTAAGAAATTCTTGTAACATTTTGGTGCTTTTAACCCCTTCTGTCCTGGGAAGATAGATAAGCAAACCTCTTATGATTATGTCTAAGGTCAAAGTGAGCCTCTAAAAGGTCCTCCTACAAGTGCAGTGCAATGACTTGGTGATTTGTTCTTTGTTTACCTGGTGGGACTTTCTACTTCCAACTCTACATTATTATGCATTTATGAATTATGTATTTCAGATAACTAAATTTATTTTCCTTGAATGTGGAGGGAGGGGTATTATTGTCCCACATGGACATATATGTATTATAAAACAAAATGTTAAATTGTCACAGTAATCCTTGCTAGTTTCTATTTATTAAAAGCCTTTCCTGATCCCACTGTGATTTTATAATCACTGCCACTGCAAAACCTTGGAATGTAGGTGTTCTTGTCAACATTTGATAGATGAAGAAACCAAGACTCAAACCCTCCACACCTGGCCAAAGGCATTCTGTGAATAGTTTACTTCAAGTCAACCTGTGTGTGCTGGGCATGGAAGTTTGATTAAAGATCTCTAAGCAGTGGGGGTTCCTCGACATCTAACTAATGTGAATTATGAAAGCTTCCCCCCTGTGTCAAGGCTGTCTGGAGTCTGTGCAGCCCAGGGAGAGGCTGGCAAGGCCTCTGCCGTGCACACCTCCAGGGGGCAGAGTCTCACTGTGTTCAGCGAGGATGACACTCTCAGTGGCATGGCCCATGCATCCTGCAGACAGCAGGCATGGTGCAAGAAGTGGCAGGAGGTGGGGGAGGGGCCGCAACAGTGCTTTGGGGCTTTAAATAAACAACAATGAGGAGCAGCAGCAGAAAGACCAGACAGCAGACAGAAGTGCAGGGTGTTCCCCTGGGTGGGGGGGCAGGTTAAAACAAGGGCAACGAGGCCTCCAGTTCCCTGCCTTCCCTCTGGGGGAAGGGGCGCTATAACTATATTATATAACGTAATTTGTGGATGGTGGGGTTGACTCCATTTAACTAACCAAAGTATATTTTTTTAAAGTTTTAATTGTATAAAGAGGGAATTCTCCACAAATTCCACTATGTCTGTAAGCTTCAGCCAAAGGCGATTGTAACAAATCACGTGGCCCTTGTCCAGAAATTCTTCTCTTTTTCTAATACTCTTTCCCAAATGGAAAGCCCCCCAGTGGGTAGGGGCCCTGAGAGGCGGGCAAGGCAGTGACTCTTCCCAGGCCCAAGGCAGTGACTCTTCCCAGGCCCGAGTGCCCTGCGCCGGCTCAGAGCCGCCAAGCCAAAGAGCAGCCGGCCAAGATTCAAGCACAGGTCTGCCCTATTTGGTCACCATCCCTGACGGTGCTGGGCCAAGCCGTGTCACTTCTGGGAGTTTTTCAGGGAACACCGGGGGAATTCGCAACCACAGCCTGCGTTATCTGGTAGTGGCAGAGGGAAACAGAAACAGGAAAAAATGTCATTCTTGCGCAGGAAAGTTGGAAGTTGCAGCGCAGAAGAGTTCAGAAGTGGGCGGGTGCGTGTGTGTTTAAAAAAAAAAAAAAAAGGTTGGAAACCCCACCAGCCAAGTCTGCAGAAAAAAATAAATGAAGTCTGCCTATCTCCGGGCCGGAGCCCCTCCCCCGGCCCGCGCCCAGGGTGACCCAGGTGCCGCTTCCTCCCGGCCGCTGAGGGTCCGGAGCCCGCGAGCGCGACCCTCACGGCGCCCGGCCTGTCCTCAGCCTCTGCCGGGTTAGCGCGCAGGACCGTGGGCGATGAGCAGCCCCAACCGCACGTCGCCGCTGCCCCGCGACGGTGAGTTCCCGCCGGGGAGGGAGCCCGGGGACCCACGCGAGGCCGCGGCCCACAGCGGCGCGGGACCGGGCCGCGGCCACCGGCGCGAGGGCCCTGGAGTCGCCGGCGCGCGGGCTGCGCGGGTCCCCGTCCCGCGCTGCGACCGGACGCGCCGCCTCTGCGCGCCCTGAGCCCGGAGAGGCCGCGGCCCGCCAGGGCGCGTCTCCTCGCCGCTTTCTGTTTCTTTGTGCGGGGCTCGTGAGGTGTTTGGGGCCAGAACTTGTCACTCTAAGGGAAGAAATAAGGCGCCTCCTGGGAGGGAGAGTCCGCATCACATCGCCAGTGGCTTTCTGCGCGTCCCGGGCAGGGCTCGGGGTGGACTGCGGACCGGACCGCTCCCAGGCCTGCGCTCTCCCTCCTGGGCAGCCGAGGCTCACAGCGGAGAGGCCGCTCGCTCGCCTGGATCCTTTGGGGTTTGCCTTTCCCCACTGCTTTTTTCTCTCTTTTTAAAACCAGCACATGTTTTCTTGCTGACAGGAAATCACATGCGATGTGATTCTTTGTAGGTGCTGGAGACATTGCTGGGCCTCTCAGGGCCCTCCTCCTCTGCCGTTGGGCTTTTGCCACAAAAACTAAAATTTTAATTAATCCAAAAATGAATGTGTACCCCTTTTACCCACCCCGGCTGGGCTGGATCATTAGAGTCTGCTAGAGAGGAGATACTCTGAGCCTATAATGTAATCACATTAAATTATTAATATGAGAATGATACGGGTATTGGAGACACCACCTCTTTTATAAGTCTTTGAAATCCAGGTGTTCGTGAGGCCTCACCACTCGCCAGGCCCCAGCTTGGGTGTGGATGAGCGTGGCTTCGGCCTAACCCTGGCCCGGCAGGCGTGTGCCCCCAGCAGGCCCCCCGGAGCGCACGGGAGCCAGTGAGGGCCGCACCGCCACAGGGATCATCTGTGCCACTTGTTAGCAAGTCGCACTCTCTTAGCTCCAGTTTCCACATCTGCAAAATGGGAATCATAACAGGATATTCCTCATCAGGTTTAGGTGTATATAAATGTGTATAAGTGGCTCAGCACGGAAACGGAGACAAACTAAGTGCTCAGTAAATGTCGGGCATCTTTGTATTAATTTTACATAGCACTGTGGATCCCTGAGTTCTTGTGCTTTAGTGTGTTTAGTGTGTATGTGTCTTACTTGAGCCTGGGGCCTGGGTTAAGGGGACAGAAGCCACCGTGATCCTCCCATTCAGGCACTGAGGAAATGTAGGCTGCAGCCGCTATCTGAAAAGGCCAGGCTTACCCTCCCCTGCTCCGGCCCTCTTCCCCGCCCCAAGCCATTCTCCAGGATTCCAGTTTCAGACCTTGACCAATGACTGCGAACACCTCCCCTGCGGGACTCCTGGGGATGCAGCCCTTCCTTGCATGCCATTCCGGATTACCCTTCGGATTTGATTTATGGCAGGTCCCTGCTGTGGGAGAACTGTGGGGCCCTATTTCTTGCTGCTAACTCAGGCAGGATGTGTCTATATCCTGTCTCAGTTTACATAGCTGCTCCTCAGACCCTGAGGTTAGAGAGGAGAGGGCCCACTTCCGCGGGCCAGGCCTGCTCCTGAATGCCACAGTTACGACGAGCAAGGCCTGCGCAGCAATCCATTGCCTTGCCCTTGGATGGCAGGGGTGAAGCTTCAGCCAGGAGACTGCCAGGTCTGGCAGCTTTATATAGAATTCGCCGCCTCTGGCAGAGGATTGCGCTAAGTGCCAAATGAAATTCCATCTCAGCCGTTGCTCAATCCCTCCAGATATCAGTGGTGTTGGGAGTCACATGGCACTGGCACCGTCAGCAGCTGGACCTTCCCAAGGGTGCACATGGTTGGGCAAGTATTTCTGGGGACTTGCAGAACACACTGGAAGGCAGAGGAGTGTGGGGTAAGAGGCATTCTGTGCTTGCAGGGGGTACATGTAACCCCATCCACAATGACTAGGAAGAGGCCCCCTCAGCAGTGCTGAGGGAGGTTGAGCAAGCCAAGTCAGTTTGCCTTTTCGGGTGGCGTGTGTACATATATCTCAAATGCCGTTCTGAGGACCCAACCTCAACACCTTCCAGTGACCAAGAACACGCGATGGGCCAACAAGCACAAGCTAAACACAAAACCAGCCAAACAAACAGGCAGAAACGTTTGAACAGTAAATGAAGTGCGAACAATAGGAAGAGAAAGACACCTTCTTCCTACCTCAAAGGCAATTTCTTTACTGATTGGTGAGAATCCTTCTAGAAATACTATATGCGTGTGTAATTACTTCTTATGTTACATAATAAAACTGTACTTCATCTTGCTTTTTTCCATAAGAATACATCTTAAAGATTATGCCTTAGCACCACATAGAGACTAACTCATTCTTCTCAGGGCAGCAGAGTATGAATTGTATGACTGTATCAATGAACTAGTTCTTTTACTTAACCAGTTCCTCTGCTAATGAACATTTGGGTTGTGTACGGACTTTATTTAATTCTTTCTCACCTCACACAGTGCTGCCGTGACAATCCCTGTAAGTAAGATTTTACATGCATGTGTTTGTACACCTTTAGGTAAATTCCCCCACCTCAGAATTTCATTTCTGGGACAAAGTGTGTATACATTTAGTTAGCAGATACCGAGAAACTGCCCTCCTAAAGGTCACACAGTTTCTGATGCTCACAAGTAGCTTATGAAAGTCACTGTTTCCCACATCCTGGCTCACACTGTGTAGTTTGCAGGTTGGCCAAACTGCTGGTAAAGATGTTGCCACTTTGGAATGTGCCTCTGTAATAGGTGAGGCCGAGCATGTGCTCTTATCTCCACGTGACTTCTTGGGGAAGTGCCTATTTGTGCCTTCATCTGTTTCCTGTCAGCGCGGCCCTCCCGTGAGGAAACATGCCCCAGACGTGAAATGATGTGTCCTGGTCACAGGGCCAGTGAGAGGCAGAGACCAGAGCCCCCCCGCCCTGCCCCGTGCGGCGGAGTCAGCCTGGGTTTGACCTCGTCCCCGTGTTTACTGGCTTTGGGAAAGACGCCGAGCCCGCAGCCCCTCAGTGTTCCCACCTGTGAGTGGGAGCAACAGCCACTTCCCACGAGTCACACGAACCACCGTGCTAAGAACCTGGCCCTGTGCCCAGCAAGAGCAGTAGCAGAGGTGGCTTTGGTAACAGAATTTACAGAGCACACCTGGCCTTCGGATGCTGGTAATTCCAGGAGTCTCCCTCCAGACAGCTGTTATTTTTCACTTTTGCTATCATAGCAACAACAGCAGCACTTAAGCGCCACTGAGCCCCAGTAAGGGCCTTGCCTGCGACTCGCCTCCACGCCTGGTGGGATGGGCATTGTCTTACCTGTTTCGCAGCTCAAGTACTGGAGGCTCAGGAGAGACAACCTGCCACAGGGCTCCCGGGTACTGAGGGTAAAGCCAGGCTGCGGACACGGGCTGTCAGACCCCACAGGCAGCTGGGGCCAACCTGTGGCAGTAGGCTGTGTGTGGGTCTGCTGCCAGCGTGTGCCTGGCGGGGTACTCTGCCCGCCACAGGGGCTGTGGCTGGGGAGTCACTGCCGTGGCTTCGTACCACAGGGAAGCACTGCATGTGGCACAGAGGTTCCACGCTGATTCCCCACCGCCCACTACCACTCCCCTTTCTGTGCTCAGACCTGGCCCGTGAGCCTGCCCTCATGCACCACGGGTGCTGATGCCTGCCACCTCCCGAGCGTCCCCTCCCCACCCCACTCCCAGCTCTCTGGTACCAACCCCCACTGACACACACGGTCACACCTGCTGCTCCGTGAAGGCCCAGTTTATGCATTCCCACCACGCAGAGCATTTTCCCACCCCTAGAAAACCACCTACCATGGCCCTGGGAACACTGCAGCTCCGATAGATCCCTGTGTCTGTCCTCTTGTCAGAACTCTGACCTTCCACTCAGGGCCCGGCACAGAGAGGTGTTCAGGAAGCCGCTGTGAAATGGATGGATGATTGCACAGGTGACCCGAGGGCCCACACCAGGGAATGGCTGCATTCCAAAAGCCAAAAGTGCCTTTTAAAAATCATACACTCAGGAGCCCCTAGCCCAGAGTTTGGCATATACTTGGAGGCCAGTAAATAACAAATTGAAATGGACAGAAGTCAGCCAAAACAAGTTCTAGAACATAGTCCATGGGCCACAGAAATCCCCACCTAGCCCTCCCCACTTCCCCACTCCAGCACGGGGTCATTTTCAAACCCTCTCACTGTGTCCCTGAGCCAACTTCCCTCTCATCTTGGCCTGGGGTTTTCTTCAGATCGTTGTATAATCTGAACTTCTGAGGGAGTGCTGACTCCTGCCCTTAGTTATTATAAATTTTAATTTTCCACATTCTTCCAGAACAGTGTTCCTCAACAAAGTCTTAGCCAATAGCAGGAACTAACAGAAGCCCATTCCCCTCCTGCCAGCGGGCGGCCCGGCCCCGTAACTATGGGTCCCACCTGGTCCACGGTGAGGGGTGGATGGGGCCCTGGCACGACCCCTTCAGCCGCTGGAGAGCCTGAGCAGTTCTGGCCGCTCCTGGGCGAATGCTGGGCCCAGGAAGGGTGGGCTGCCTTGCCTGGGGCCCCACAGCCACCCGTGCCTACCCCTTCTCCCGCCCCGACATCTTCCCCGGCATCCTCCATAACCCCTTTGAGCTTCAGTACAATCTCTTGTTTCTGCTTGTTGAGCAAACTCCTTCTAGGTGAAGCCAGACACCCCCTCTCTTATTGGCGAAATACTGGTTGTGCACCACTTGGGGCCCAGCAGGCACACCGCTGACCTCTCTCCAGAGCTCTAAGGAAAGGAAGCTCCGTTTCGGGACCCGTGTTGGGGGAAGGCCCAGGGCAGGCTGCCTCAGTATCTTGCTGCATCCCTGGCAGGCACACCCTGATGGAGCTGTTTATCTGCACTCCGCATGTATGGCCCTGACCACACGGCTCTCGCAGAGAGCCTCCAACAGAGCCCCCGCACCCCTA